AACACACAGAAATGAAAGAATAGTAGTCGTGAAAAAGAAAAACTAAAAACAGCGTCTAAACCATAAAGGAAAGTGCGAAAAGTTGAGTGCTGGGAAATGTGGAAAAAAATAATTCGAGATCCTCGTTTGCTTTAGAAGAACTTTTTGTGGTGGCCACAATTTTTTTTTTTTTTTTTAATTTTATTTTAATTTTTTCTCTCCTTGGGGTGCATGCCTTTGCAAATACAAATAGCTTTGTGTCGGCTGACTTTGAGTCGCTGCGTAGGAATGTGAAAATTGCTTATGAGTGGTATTTGAAGAGTAGCTGAAGATTTTGTATTATGCTATAATCATATCGGAATGAAATTCAAGTTTTGAAAATTTATTGGTTTAGGTTAAAGTTAAGCAGTTTATTGTTAAAAGAAGACTCTATTATTTTCTCATTTTAAAGAAATATTTTATGAGTGAGTACAAGTATGATGAAGCATGCGAAAGATCGAAGAACAGAAAACGATCTCAGACAACATATTTAGTTTAGAAAACACTCTGAGAAGACTTCATGTGAATAAGAGATATCTATGGAGTATGGATCGTAGGATAGTCAAAGGAATGCTGGCTTTACTTGATTGCTGGGGCTTGTCAGCGGCTTCAGAAGAAAATCAAAAACGTCCTTGAAGTATAGAATGAGAGAGCCATCAGTGATATATTAACTACTATCATCGCAACTAATAAGTATACGTTGTGTCTATAGTATATAGCTCCGAGGACTTAGCTTGTGGTGCGCCTGGTGGCCACGAATAGATAAAAAAAAAGGTATGTGACACAGAATTTATAGGTCAATTAGGACAATTTAGCGTAAAGCTTTCTTGGAGCAAAATTACTATGTTGAAATGGCTATAAGGTTTTAAGAGATGGAAAAACGATGAACGCATCTGTATGCGACTGAAGTTGTACACCTCTAAAATTTAATATAGCTACTTTTATTAGTCGAACCAAGCCGGAATGAATTGATAAGAAACCAATTTATTAAAGCCTTGCGAAGCTTTTTCATTTGAAAAAATAAAGCACTATGGTTAGTGCTTTTTGTCGATATTTCGCTTTAAATATTTTAGTTTCTCAATAAATTTTTTCTTTTGAATATATCTGATTTGTATTGCAACTTTAAATACTTTGAAATAGACTTTTCAACAAAATAAATTTAATTTTCTACCACAAAACTTTTTTACTGCTTTCCTACCAGCAGTATTTGCTTATTTCCGCTTTTGTTAAACTTTTCTTTGCACTTATTTGTAGAACTCTTTTAAAAGCCAGCGACTCGACTCCTCCATTGTCAGACAAGTTTCTGCCAACTGCCGACTATTGTTTAAATCAAAAAGATTTGCAAAACATTGTTTAAGCCGCCTACCTACATATTATATGTAATATAAGCGTTAGCTTTCCCTTCTCAGTATATGTGTGGGCCGCTACCCTAAGCCCTAGTGTCTAGTAAATCGGAAAATAAAATATGTACGGCCTCAACATATTTTTCCCCTAATTTTTGTTTGTTTTTATTTTCTCTTTTTTTTCTTTTTAGTTTTTTTTTTATATTTATTTTACTTTAATTTTCTTGTCGACTTTCCAGCATCTTGTACCCTTAGTTAAAGGATACTTCTCAGCGACTGCTGGCGCTCCGACAATTGTTACAAACAATAAGAGACAGAATAAATTATACTAGGGTGAGAGGGGAAGTGAGAGAGTGAAGGAGGAAGGAAGAGACGCGAAACACATGCCATTAAAATATTGAAAGAGAAATGGAGAATATAAAATCAATGCCTGCCTTGAACACTCTTGCATTACACCCGCACCTATACGCATACTCATTTACAATAATTCGCCCAATACATCGTGTATGTATATGCAATACGTATATATAATTTTCTGCTGATTTTCGCAAAATGTTCCCATTTCGTCGGATACTTCCATTGTTATTCCTTGCTATTGTTAATAGTTCTATTGTATTCTATTTATGTATATATGTATGTATAGTTATTGTTTTTTCGTTTCCTGGTAACAAATACACTGCCGTAAAATGATGTAGTTGTTGTTGTCTTAATTTCAAATTATACTTCATTGTATGTGTTGTCAGAAAAAGCGTTGGATAATTTTGTGTAATTCCGAAATTTACTAGAAATTCTTAGAAACTCTTGTGAATGAAAAGAAGGAATATTAAAGTAACGGTGTTGAATTAATTTGATTGAATTGCTAAAGCGAGGTCATGGTGACTATGTCAAGTGGCAGTTCAGCGCTTTCGAAGGTGTTGGGAGTAGCTACAGACAGCATACAATGAAAGTCTATATATGTATGTAGTAAAATCTTACGTTCGTTTGTAAAGCCTCACATATCTCGAAAACCAACTGACTGACTTGAAATTTTGTCACGTGGCTTCATTGATTCCTGAAAAGGTTCGTACAAAAAATCTTATTTACGGCTTGGAATACTATCTCCAATCAGATACTCGATTTTTTCCCCCAAAATTTAGGGCCAGTTAAAAAATATTGTTTTTGAGGAAAATGCACTTTAAGATTATCACGAGCCTTCTAGATCGTGCGCAAGTTCTTCGTTAACTTGAACATCATCAATGGTTTTTACTGAGAATTTTCAAATATATTTCCCTATCGCATAATGAAAAACAACTCAATTTTTGCTCTTAGTTATACTACCCCTAAACCGTAAGTGAAGTAAATACCGAGTTCGGTGGAGCCTTTTCTAAAGAAAAAATATACACGTTTTTATATATTTTTTTAAATTTAATCATTATAATTTATTTAATTACAATTAGTTTTTTTTTTTTGTAACTACAATTATTATTATTTCTTTTAAAATGTAAGTCTAGCTAATATTAAAAACATAATTATACAATACAAGTATTTATTATAAAAAACTTCTACTCATTTTAAAGCCTGTTAGGCTATTTTTACACACACTGTACTAAATACTCTCATCAAATTTTTAATTTACACACTTGCATGGCAACATTAATATCTACAGCTGTCAAGCAATTTTTTTCAAATATATAAAAAAATATAAAATATAATATATTTAAGAAATATGCATACATATATTAATGCTCTATACTAGCGCAACTTCAAAAAATTAAATTTATTATAATTTTCAATTAATTTCAATTGGTATCTATTAATTATTATAAATTACAGATTTTTAATATATAAAAAATTACACAAAGCTTAAACTAATACATGTAAGACTTATTTTGTTACAAATTTGTTAAATATTATACCTTTTAACTAATTTCCATTAATAATAATACATTTTTTATGCAATTTCTTGTTTTTACTAAAAAATTAATTTTAAATTTATCAGACACATAAATCTATATCCAATACATATTGTATATATATATTTACACTTAAATGTAATACCTGCTTAATCGACGTTTTTTAATATTGAAAATCCGTATTGAATTTATTCGCACTAATCTTTTTAATTATATGAAATCTAACACTGTTATAACAGATAAATTCGATTGACTCATTAGTGAGAAATTTATTAATTAATATATGACTTGAAAAGTTAATACTACATTTAATTAATTTTTATATAAATTTATTTAAATTTAGTCTTACTGTTAATAAATGTGTATGTTTAATACTATTAATTATTATTAATAATTTTTTTTTTAGTTTTTAATACTTTATTTGAAGGTAAGTACTTTATGCAACAATAAATATAAATTATTTTCTATATTAAAAATTTCTTATTCAAGCACTATTTATATTTAATCATATTTTCATACGAATACAACGAATATGTATGAAAATAATAATTTTTACAATTTGCCATTTACAAATATCACAACAAAATTAAAAAATTTGGCCGAAGGTGCAAAGGTGAGTAAAGTTCGATTAGCTGAAGTGAAAGCTGCGCTGTGCTAATAAAAGCTTTTGCTTAAACTCATGCAGGAAAATCGAGATAAAAGTTATTCTCCAAGCACTAGTAAAAATCACTCATACTGAACGGAGCGTTTTGTGAAAGCTTTCACTGTATTTTCTAAACTTTCACTAACTAGTGGATACAAATTTTATTTTTATTTTTAACAAAAACATAAAATCTAATGCTATATTATTGTATTGTATATTAGTACACAATATTGTTGAAATGTATTTGAAAGAATGGTTGTTCAATTTAATTTTTACTTTTTTATATCTATATTCTGGTAGGGCTAAAATAATAGGGCTCCTCATATTTGATTACAAAATAGGGAAAGCTCCATTGATGTCTTTCAAAAGATCAAAATACTAAATTCTTCTTTTAACTAAACTGAAGAGATTATCACCTTTAGCAAAGTTGCAAATACTTTTGAATTTTTTTCTTTAAAAATGAGCTTTCGAAGCTATAAAAGAGGAAATCGAAGGAGAATTTGTGAAAGCTTAGATAAGCTTATTCCCTTAATAAATAAAATTTAATAGGTTTCGTTAGACATTTTTTAAGCTTTGAGTATTAGTGGTAAAATTGAGCTTTTGAAGCAAAAAGAAGCTGCGTAAGCTATCCATAGTTATTACTTGACTTGGCTATACAATTTTCTACGTATATTCGCATAAATGAACTTCTAGTGATTTTTTGTTGGAATGTGAGCCACAAAAGACAGAAAATAATATTGAAAGGAAATTGTAGAATTGTGAGAGAAATTTTCTTGAAAAAAAAAGCTTTTGAAGTAAAAAAATGCCGAAATTTTAGGAGACTTTTTATTTTGTTTCACATGCATTCTAAAATTCTAAAGTAGCCAAGTAAAGCTTTTCTGTGGTTTGATTTTTATTCCATCAGTTAGTTTATTTTAAAAGCGGATTGACCTTTTTTTCAACTCAGCATCGCACAGTTACCGCCGAACTGAACAACGATTGGTTGTGAGCGATAAAGGAAAATTCAACAAACCGGTGTCCAAATTCCTTTGACAGCGAAAGGGCGTGGTTACAGTTTGCTGAATTTGCTCAGCAAGAGAAGATGCTTATTTGTCAATTTTTTTTCCACAAGCCACTAAAATATTGTATTAAAACCTGGGTTCTTCTACAAATCTACTTCTGTCTTTGTAACCCTACTATAGACAAGCTCTCAACTCACTTTTTCTCAAAACCTAGTGTTTAGTCGCCTCATAAAAATTTCTCTGAAAAACACCTAGACTCTCTCGTATGTAAGTTCTCTCTATCGTTCTCTTATTCTTAAGCTTCTACTTGTGTATACCTTAACCGATCATCTCTGCCTTCTGCTTAAATCAACTCTTCACTACCGAACTCTCTCGTAGACACTCATCTCTTTGACACAAATACCACGGTCTCAACCGGCGTGCGACCACCCCAGGCCAAGTCTTATAAATCTGTGTGCAACACTGGCGCTGTACAATTTATCTCGATATTGTCTGAGTGCCGCCGCTCATCAGCTGCTGCCTTGTCTTCGTCCAACACATCGGCACACGATGTATCCGGCACTAAACGCTCGTCGGCAATGGTGTCTGGAATAATACACTCAGAGCCCAACTTTTGATTTTGTGTTACCGCATGGGCGTTCATTGCCGGCAGCAAGTGGCTCTTTTGTGCATCAGGATAAGCGACAATTTGATTTGTAGCGCCACTTGTGGTCGTGGTGTTCGTGGCTGTTGTTGTTGTAGTCGCAGCAGACAGATGCATATTAGTAGCATTATTATTGCGCGTCACAAGCGCCTTCTTCTGTTTTGACTTCTTGGGCGAAAAGAAACGATCACCCTGACGATTTTTACCAAACTTCGGAAAGAGACTATTCTCCAATTGCAACTGCGCATTGACATCCTTACGTGCCGCACAGGTGCATGCCTTCAAAAAGCTCTTCTTAAAATTGTCACTCAAAAATGCATAGAGTATGGGATTCATCGCAGAGTTCGAGTAGCCGAGGCAGCCGGCTAGCAGGAAAATGGTGATCTCGAGTCTCGATGCACATTTGCTTGGCGACGAATTGATGAGCGCCACCTGTGATATCCAATAGGGTAGCCAACACAGTATGTATACTGTAATCACTGTTAGCACCAATTTGGTCACCTTACGGTGAGAGCGCTTCTTCTCTTTGGACTTTTGCTTCGGACCGACTGTATGCAATTTGCGTATAACGAGAAAATAGAAGATCAAGATGAATGTGAGCGGCGTGGCAAAGCCCAATGTCAGTGTGTACAGTATAAATGTGGTACCCGATTGTGTATTTTGTGCTTCGGGCCACTTAATGTTGCACGAGACGTGATCCTCATTCGACTGTACGGTGTTGGCGAACAGTATCACGGGCAACATAAGTAGCACCGACGTCAGCCAAGCAAAACCCGAGACCAATTTCGATACGAAAGGTGTGCGATAGCGTGGCGATGATATCGGATGACAAACGGCTATATAACGATCCGCGGACATGATGAGTAAGAAAATGGACGATGTAAACTGTGTTATCGATGTGCTCACCATATACGCTTTGCAGACATAATCATCAAATTGCCAACTACCAATCTGCATGGTATACAGTAGTATTGGTATGCCAATGAGAAAACATTCATCGGCTATAGCGAGATTGAGTATATAAATATTCGTGACTGTTTGCATTTTCGAAAAACGCAAAACGACATAAATCACAAGCGTATTGCCGAAGAGCCCAATGATGCAAACGATTGCGTAGAGTATCATCGTCACGAGATTGGCAATTGCATTCTGGCCATTGTGGCACATCATCTCCTCTTCGTACGTCTCATTAAAGGTCATATTAAAGATGGCGCCATTCACGCGACTCAGAAATTCATTCGCCTCCAACTGCATGAGATTCAAATTGGGCAGCAACTGTTCCTGTATATTTGCTAGTGTGCGTGCGCGTGCCATAGCGAGGCTGTTTGGTTCGTTTACTTCGCTCTTGCCGGTTTGTACCTGCTGTGGCATTAGACTCGCCAGTAGGCTGATGTAAAATAAATTCGATTTGTTGGTCTCCATGCTGTGCATTTTGAGATCTTTGGGGTGCTTATTGATTTTTGCGTTTAATATTTGGATATTTGAAGTAACCTCAAGTTTGGACTAGCTGGAAATTACGGGTACTGTGCGCCATTTTTCAGGGTAAACTGTAAAAAATAGAATAAATTATTTATTGGTTTTAAAGACGATTACTGCGTGAAATGGTTAAAAGTAAAAAAAAAAAAATTAAATAATAAAAATTTAAAATATATATATGAGAAATTTTATTAACTATAAATATCCACAAGACATGGTAGACATCAGTCTGAGCTGAAAGGGTTTACAATGAAACTAACTCAAATCCAAAAATCATCAGCTTAGCCAAAAATGTTTGATGGTTTTTTTCAGATAATTTTTTTTATTTAATAATCAATATTTCACACTCAAAAACGCGACTAAATGAGATTTAAGCCTATTTAACTAACTGAAACCCATTTTTTCTTATACATATGTATTTTTTCGACTAAGAAACTATTTAAATATATAATTTTTTTTTATAATGAACTTTAATCAATTATGTGATTTCTGTATTGTCAGATTGCCTTTCGACATCTCTCCGGCAACTTCATTATACCACTTCTGGACTTTATTTGCAAAAAACTGAACCAAGTTGTATTTCAAGTGCCTCGTCATTTTTTACCATTAAATGAGTTCTGCAAAGATCGAATAAATGGTAGTCTAACGGTGTAAGGTCAGTGCTACATGGTGGGTGCATCAACAGCCAATTTCACTCAGTTTTTGGCGAACGACAAAGATGTGTGCGGTCTAGCACTGCCCTGGTGGAATACGACACCTTTATGATTGACCACTTCTGGCTGTTTCTTCTTCTCCAGTTGTTCACAGAAGGCATTCGAATTAATCGTCTAGTTCCTAAGAAGCAGCTCAAAACTCACCACTCCCTTCCAAACTCCACTTGACAGCAAAATCTTCTTCTTTATCGCTCTTCAAGGCAAAACATATACTAAAACTGACTGATGGCCGGTGTTGGTTGCTAATAGGTCAAGGTATTTAATTTTTTCATGCCATCTCGCCTACAACAGTGCAACAGCTAAGAAATACGAAACTCTTTAAAGAAATTTCCCGTTAAGAGAATAAATTACTACACTCATGACATCTGCCACAGTTGTAGGGTCGAAGCGGTCAACGAGTCGGAGAGGGCGGTTGAAAAATTTTGATTTTTTTTCATTGTTTTATTTTCAATTATTTCTTCTTTTCATTTTCTCTTAGGAATTCACTCTTTCATCTCCTACGGCGTTTCCGGTTGTCCCTTCTCTATCTCCATTAAATAACTTAAGTCAATTGCCGCAGCTAATAAAATAAACAATTCAATATAAATAAAAATAAACTTTACGACTTCCAACGCCAATAAACCTTGGAATAGCTGCACATATGCTCATATGTTCATATGTGTGATATTTCTCTTCAACCAATTCTCACCCACAGTGAGAGCCCATAAACTATGGCCACATATTGTGAAAATTAGCACTAATATAACCGAATGGTTGGTTGCAGCCAACAAAACCAAAAACGCAAAACAATAAAGTGGTTTGTTGTCATAAAATAAATCAGTTAAAGGCAATTATTTTTGTGGACAAAAATAATGGCAGGAAAACTTTTCCAGCAAAAAAAGAGAAAAAAAAATTTTAATAAAAATAAATTGAGTGCCAAATGCCGTTGAACTCGTTTGTCAAATTCATGGGAAATTAAGTGCTAAAAATGCAATTGATTTTTCTACAATTTAATAAACTGCTGTAGCTGGCTGGTAGAGAGTAAATTTTTTAATAATACATTGTCTGCTTCATATAATTGGCAATTTCAATGAGATATTTGTAATTAATTCTGCTTTAATTTCTCTAAATTACTCTCCTGCACTCTTTCCATTTCTCTACGTGATATGTTCCTCTCGCACTCGATATCCCTCTTATTCAGGCCATAAACTTTCGTTTATACTCTTATTTAGTGTGAACTTATGAAACACTTGTCTCAGCTATCCATTATATCGGATTACAGCCTTCAATTAACGCTCACTCACACGATTTCCTTTCATCAATACAGCTGTTTTGTTTTTTTTTTTTTTTCTTTTTGTTCGCACAGCCTGAACTTGTGAAACACTCAACAATATGTACTTCTGTTTACATATACCTTAAGTGCATGCTTTTAATTTAGCTTTCAATCAAAGGTGTTTACATAGTCAATGAGTGTAGAATAAACAAAAGTGTCACCGGCAGGCTTAAATAGTAGTAGTAGTAGTAGATGCGAAAATATTTTTTACTTGTCTTAGATTTTCCGCAAAATTTTCGACACAAAAGGATACACATCTGTGAAGGGTAAGCCTAGTAAAATGTATAGCAGAAAAGTGTTGATATATAAGTATATACATATATATATTAGATGTGCTAGTAAATTTAATGTGCGCCGAATGTGCCTAAATACACATGACCTTTATGGGGGGGAAAAATAATGGAATATTATGAAGCTTAAAATAAGACAGTTTATGATAAATGAAAAAAAGTGACATAAAACAATGTGTTTTCTCAAAATTTTTTGAAAATTTTAGTTTGTTTTATCATTAGAAAAAATCTCAATTTGTTGATGAATCTACTTAAACCAAATATTGGCCAAGATAATGAGACATAATAATATGTGAAAGAGCAAACAAAAGATTATTTGTGATTTTGCATGATTGACTTTGATACCTTGTATGGGAGTTAATGTATTTGTTGCTAAATAACTTTGACTTGGCACGAGGAAAAAGGTTGCACCGCAGTGGAGAAATAGAAGGTTGCCTACCTCGCACTCCTCCGATCTACCGGGTGCATGCATCAGCTTCTTTGCAAAATAGGATCAGACGCAAGCACATCCGACGATCGGAGTTCGAGTGTGTCAGGATAGTGCATAAAAAAGCGACCCCGCGGCTTGGACGAATTACCAGGCGAAAAACCTCTTAAATAAGGGCCAGCAGGACCTATCGAGCGCATTGAGTTAACGACTAAAACCCACCGTCCACAAGCTGATTGGACCCCATCGATGTGGTTTTAGACCAGATAAGTCAACCATTGTCACGACATCTACAATTTTTTTTGGAAATGACGCGTGAAAGTACCGATACTCATCAACTTTTCATTGATTTAATAGCTGAATTCAACAGCACGAATAGAAGCTGCCTTTACTCCGCTATTTCTGAATTTGGTATCCCCCTAAAACTTATACGGCTACATAATGTGAGCTGCCACTGGAAAGCACAATAAACTCAGTAAAAATTGGGAAGGACGTCTCCGAGCCATTCGGTACCAAACGAGGTTATCACAGGCCTTAACAGCCGCACATTTCGTTCTGATTTCTCTGACCTTAATTAGTCATATTGCCCGAGTGGATGAAAGATCCTTTGCTTTGAAAGTATTCCATGCAGTAGCCGCTGATGGAAATAGATTAAGAGGAAATCTCCTCTTCATTTCAAGAGACACGTAGTGAGCCGGGTTATTTCCCTTGTTATTTTCACTGGGCACCACACAAGCGATGAGAACGAAAAAATGGCGCGCTATTGTTGATTCGCTCATAATCGCGTAAGCGTTGCAATTGGAAATACATAACAATAAATATATTTTTAACTTTATGTTCTTTCTTTGTTTTGTTTTATTTTATTAATATTTACTTCTTAGTATAATTTAATAAATTTCATTTAATTTTTCTAAATATATTTTTAATTTTGTATAATTTTTTTGGTTTGCTTTAGTTCGCTTAATATTTAATTTTTTAATTTTATTCTAATTTTTTACATTTCCCTTTACATACTCAGGTCCTTGTGTTTAAAAAATCGCAAATAGCTAAAAAAGAAGCATAACAGAATAAGCATTTCCTAGAAAAGTAGATAATGTTACAAGCAAACGCATTTGTCATGCTTTATATTATATTATGTAAGCAAATTGTTGACACTTGTGACAATGTATGGCACAGATATGAATACCGTTATCATAGTAAAGGAAAGCTTCTCCTTTCTAGGTTTTATTTTCCATACATGTCTGTATATATACTGAATGTGTGTAACAATTTTTATCAAAAAGGCAGCTCAAGTATTTTGTAACTTCTGAATACTATATATTTATATTATATATATAATATTTATAAGTATGCTTTAATAACACTTATGAAGATATATTTACGAATATTGATAACTGATAAAAATAAATAAATTAAATAAAATATAAAAATAAAAATAAATAAAATAATGCAAAATAAAATTCCATAAAATAAAATAAAATAAAATAAAATAAAATAAAATAAAATAAAATAAAATAAAATAAAATAAAATAAAATAAAATAAAATAAAATAAAATAAAATAAAACAAAATAAAATAAAATAAAATAAAATAAAATAAAACAAAATAAATAAAAATATTATAAAATAATAAAAAATGAAATGAAATTAATTAAAATAAAATAATATCACATCATATAAAAATTTAAATTAAAATAAAATAAAACATAACTACATATGAAAAGGTTGATCATTTATATTTACAAAATAGTATGAAATATAAATCATGATTAGCCTGATGTCTGAACAACCACACATTCTGAGGAATTTTGTTTATTGAAGTAAGACTAATCTTCACTACCGCCGTTATTAGCAACCAGCTTTCTATTTATCTATTTATTTATGAACTTATTTATTTATTTTGTCTGCTATAATCTGCAGTTTATAGTAAAAAAAGTAAGTGAATAGTCATGCCGCGGTCGAGATACCAAAATTTTATGTGGCTTTGAACCGCAGTAGTTCGCTTATCTTACGCATTGTTTCAAAAAATATACAAATATTTCCTGCTCATATTTTATGTATCATCTTCCACACTGTGTCTGCACAGTATGCGAATAACATATTTTTCATACTTTATTTCCTTCATTTCGCTTATTGAAAACACGCGAACGTTGTAGCAAAAGAGATATAAAATACTAAGTTATATGTAGATATACGAATATATGTATAATATAATTGGCATCTTCTGACCACTGAAGCAGTTCTCGGCCGAACGACTTCAACAAGAGGGACTTACAATTTATTCTAAGCCACCTTCAAAAGAACGATGGAGCTTTATGAAGAGCGTT